TTAGTGACCAGTGACCAAACAAGTTTTCCTGGTAAAGTGGAATTGTAAGCAAAAGCTGGACTTTGTTATTTGATGCTAACATACAAAATAATAAGCTGGCAATCAGTGTATGATGCTAAGGCAGTAACTGCAGGTTCCAGCGCCACGTGGGCATTTCTAAATCCAGCTCCATTACACCTAAGGACAGCGTTTCTTTGCCCATTGTCCCTTCCAGGATTCCACCTAACAGCAGTATGGAGTGGTTTCTGACACAGCCCAGCCCCGCACCCGCTCCAGGACCCACTCTTCCCCTGCTGACCCCCACAGTTCTGAGCTTTGACATGGCTGAGGGGATGGAAGCAGAGCAGCTGGGTGACACTGCTCCCCTCTCTCACTCTGCCAGCACTTGGGGATGATGAGCTGCATGGGAAGATTGCACAGCCTGTTGCAGCCCTGCTCTCCCCCACAATCACAGAAGCAGTTGAAATGCCTACTGATATTCACAGATTATTCACCAGAGGTATCTCACAAGCACAAATCTTCACTTTTCTAAAGGGGCATCAAATTTACCCTTGCATACCCTGCCATTATACACATATATCCACCAAAAAGACTCGCTATCGTTTCAAGCTCTGGAAGAGGCTGATTGGTACTTACACCCATTGCCAATGTCCTCGTAGGACAAACATGATAACAGTTCATCTTATTCTTCTGGCCCTTGAGAACAGTGTAGTCAATGGAAAGATCTACCCAAAAGGCCTTTCTACTCCAACCACGCTGGTCTGCCTAGACCCCTCTAATGCCACCAACTTCCCTGGACATATCTATCCTGGGACCCTTGGATGTGTTTCCTGACTGTTATGTTACTTTTCTAAATTTCTCTTTAGTGTTTCTTATAATAGTTTCTTGTTACCAGATATTGCTCACCTCTTGTTGTACTACACCTTTCATTGGGCTGATGCCACTCAAGCTATGCCATTAGACAGTCTATTGGAATTGCTTGCTAGCTCTCTCATGGAGCAGCTATTCTAATTTGTCTATATAGGATGGCGCTGTTCCTGATCTCTTCTATAATTATATTAAGGGCCTTGGCTACGGTGTCCATAGTGGTTGAAAACACATGTACATGTGGAAAAAGGTGAAGTTACTTAATTGCACGGTATTGTGCTTTTGGATTCTTTTATTTTCATTGATGTTTGTCTTTGAATTTGAACGTTATGTTCACCCAAGGGAACTCCTATATGTTGTCTCCCTTGAATCTGTAAAAAGTCTTTTCTAACTCCTATACAGTACACCTTTCTACCCAGCAACACTCTTGGTGGACAATCTGGCTTAGCTTGCCCCTGTGCCATGCCTTTTTTTATTTTATGGCTTACAATTCCACTTTTCATGCCTCTTTTATGACCTACCTCCATAATATGAGAATGATATAATGGAAAATTAAAAGGCTTAGGTCCCTAGCAAGCAAATAAAAGTCCTTCTCCATCTGCAGCAACTCTGGGCAGATGTTACTCTGCTTCAGGAAATGCACCTCACGGGTGATGACCATCAACAATTACAGAAACTTTGTTTGGTGATATTAGCCCCCATGGTGGGGCACAAAGCTGGCATTGCCATCTTACTACATAAACTTTAATCTTACACTCTAACATCTGTGGGGAGGGAGAATCTTGGTTCCATTAAAATCCCAATACTCTTCTTTCTGTTTTCAATATTTACACTATGAGGATGAGGAGCTGAGTCAGCTGAACCTATTAGTATTGTTTACATGGTACTAGGGTATTACTTGTCCTTGGCTGGTTTGCTGAACTTAACAGCTCTCCTCCCATGATGGTATTGTGATTGTTCCCTGCTAAAAAATCTAAATGGGTTGTTAGGAGTGTTCTATCCATGCCTCCACACAAATAGCTATATCTATCCATTACCCTCCTCTGGTTTATACTAGTGTTGTTAGCATGCTGTCATCTTTGGTAATGCAGTCTGCTGAGGTAAATAAGCTGAGGCTAGGATCTGACAATATCTTTCTTACCAAAATGTCACATCTATTTTTATATTTGGTCTCACCACGTTGTGCTTTTTAACTTGTAATGCTATGGTGAAAACCAATTAAAAAAATATAAAAAAAAAGACAGGCAGTAAATATCAGACTTCAGGATACCTCTGATCCCTGGCTCTTAAAGTGGTAGTGAACTCTTATAATGTTAAGCTTATAATAAACCTTACCTGTAGGTAAAATGAATATTTCCTAAACATGCACTGTTTGGGAGATATTCCAGTGAGTGGCAGCTGGTGATGTCACTGGCACATGCACTATGAAGGGACGGCATACTCATGCTGTCCCATCAGAGCTCTGTGCCATGGCCTTGACTCAAATGCACAAGCACTGAAGTGACATTATTGCGGCTTGGCCATTCAAATGGCCACATTCAAATGGCCATAGCTCATGAACCTGGAAGGAAGACTGGGTGAAGATGGAAACCCTGTCAGTGAGGAAAGTATGCCACTAGAGTGCTTTGTTTCAAGGTAAGTCTCCACTAATATGCTAGTATGCGATGCATACTAACACATTATGATTTTATCTTGCAAGAACTTTTTTTATTGGAGGAAGTTTACTACTACATTAAGCTGAGATTTCAGGCCCCTATGAATAGGAAGGCATGTATAACTTTTTTTGATTAGTAGGCTTGAACAAGTATACCAAGTTCATACTGAATAATTCTTACATGAGTCTATTTGTTCTCTTTAAACCTCATCTCAACTAATCAAGTATTTCTAATGTCTTGCAAGTCTGTTTGAATAGAGAAAATCTGACAATTTTCCATAGTAATGAAATCATTGTTAACTATACCACACCTACTAATGGAATGAAAAAAAATCATAAGCTTTCCAACCGCTCTGTCTCCGCCACCCCCCTCTGCCAATCCCTTCCAATTGCGCAACAAATTGTGAAAAGTAATTCTTCCCATAAAAATATGACGACCTTCCCTGAAAACCCAGTGTAACTAAGGTTGCCTATAGGTCTCTCTAAAATTCTAAATCCAGGGCTAGGAAATTTCAAAGTTTTATCATAAAGGCCATGAAAAAATAGAGATCATTAGGAAAAAGTTAGAGAACCTACTCCCCCCCGCCCCCATCCCGAAGCATATTCCTGTGCTGAATTTGGCTGAGAGGAGTGAACAATGTGCCTCTTCAGACCTCTCCTCCAGCAAAGATCACTGTTCATAATCGGTGGGGGGGTAAAATAGGGTTGCCACTTCATCCCTTTAAAATGGAACACATTAATTACACAGATTTTGAGACTAATTCACTGCAGATAAGGCACTAAGTGAGTTTAAAGTGTTACTAAACCTACAACAGTAAAATCAGCCTGTATATGTAGTAAAGTATGCTTGTTATACTCACTGTGAAACCTAAGGGGTTAATCCTCTGCATTGTGTAAAAAGGATGTTTGATCCTTTCTTCTCTGTTCCTCCCTTTCTCAAGCAACAAGCTCTTAGGAGGATGTAATATGGAGGGTTGGATGGTCACAGCAGATGTGGCATCACTCTACACTATTATACCACATGATCTGGGTTTGGAGGCTGTTGATCATTATTTAACTAACGGGCCTGACCTTTCTCTGTTACAAAAATAATTTATTATGGATCGTTTAAAATATGCAGCATCCCACAATTATTTTTGGTTTGGGTAACAATATTACCTTCAAAGGAGAGGAGTTACCATGGGAGCTAAGTATGCCCCCAGCCTGGCTAATTTGTTTATGGCCAGGTGGGAGAAGGATGTCGCAGGTGTGAGATGCCCCCAGAAAATGGTATGGTTTGCTAGGTACATCGATGACATCCTCCTCCTATGGGATGGATCACTTGAGTCCATACAGGACATCATGGTTTCTTTAAACAGGAATGATAGGGGAATCAAATTGGATTATGAGCTAGCCAAACCTAAATTCATTTTTTGGGATTTGAGAATAACTAGAAAGGAGAATGGTTTCATTACCTCGATTTTCTTCAAATCCACCGACTGGAATGTCTACATTCCAATTGACAGCTGTCATTATAAGCCTTGGCTTAAATCTATCCCACAGAGTAAATTTTTGTGTATGGGGAGGAATTGCACCAATATTGAAGATTATTCTTCACAGGCAATAACCTTAAAAAATAGATTCTTACAGAAAGGTTATGAACTTGAAAGCTTAGATGTAGATATACAATCAGTTAGAAAAAATAGATGGGAAAGACCTGTTAAGGGAAAGGTCTATACGTAACAATGAAATGAATACGTTTATTTGTCCCTTTATTACCTCTTATTCAACCCAACACTACTCTATAAAAAAGATTTTAACTAAAAATTGGCACATTTTGTGCAATGGTAAAATATTGGGAGCAACCCTGCCATCTAAACCACAGGTTCTTTTGAGGTATTCCCCTATTACGTAATATTGTTGCTCCTAACATATATGATCCCTGTCGGCGTACCACCTTTTTCCAGGAACTTAAGGGTTTCTAGAAATGTATAAAATGCTCAGTGTGTCAAATTAACATCTGTTCACGCAAGAGCTTTAAGTCCTTTGTGTCCACTACCACCTCTAGGAATTATCCCATTAAACCTTTTGTTACTTGTACCAATTCTAATGTGGTTCATCTTTTGCAATGTCCCTGTGGCCTTCAATATATTGGGAGGACCACCTGTGCTCTCCAGGTCAGATTGGGGGAGCACATAGGGAATATCAAAAGAGGCTTTAAAGGACATAGTGTCTCTAAACACTATGCCATGACACACAATAAATATCCTAGTAGCACCCTCTTCCTAGGGATTGATAAATTCATCCCACACTGGCGAGGGAGTGCTACTAGAAGAGAAATCTAAACTTGAGACTAATTGGATTCAAAATGTCAACTGTTATGTACCTTATGGGTTAAATGTGGATTGGGACAATAATGACTTTATCAACAATCAAAGTTATAGTAGTCTGGCTTCCCAATATTTAATAGTAACATCATTTATTAGGACAATTTTTGTCAGGAAAAGCTTGCCCATAGTGCAGGTGAAGTTCCGTTGTGCACAAATATGTGCATGCACAGAGTCCATATTTGTGCATGCATATGTGCATGCACAAATATGTGCATGCACAGATGTGCAGGCACCTAGACATAGGCGCACACACGTGCGCATGCATTCGCACTCACGCATACAGGCGTGCACCTGTCACTAATGCTGGCGCCAAAACGGCTATTTAAACTGGCTACAGTAGTTGTCCCATTGCCGTATGGTCTTATCCCTGCTCGTGTTCCCTGATTTCCTGTGATTGTCTGCTGATACCGAACCAGCTTGTTCCTGACCTCCGCTTGACCGCTACCTGCATTGACCTCTGGCTTGCCTGGGAATATCCTTCTGTCTCCTCTCCTGTCTGATTGATCCTCCATTGCTGACCTGGTCTGTGACTCAACTACTCTTCCTCCTGCCACTTTAAGACTGATCTGCCTGACCAATACCGAACTAGGCTCGTCTGACCCTGCATCCTCAGCACGCTGCTCTCGGGTATCTAACCATCCAGCATAGCTGCATCAGAACCCTGCTCCCTGCCTACAACTCATCCGCTTACCAGCTATTACTGAACTGATCATAGGCACTCATACCCCACCATGCCCCTCAACTGCTATCTCACCATCAGCGGTCCTTGAGCCGGAGTTGTATGGGAGGCCTGCCTCTTCACGTCAGGCTCACTATCCAGGTATGTGACAATTGCTCCCGTTACAGTCGTCCTCCTTTTGGTACTTTATAGGTTTCTATTAATTACTAGTATTGATATCATGTTGCTCCTGTATTAGATTGGTATCTGTTGACCATTTATTATTTTTAATTTTGATTGTTTTATCATTATTATGGTTAATCTAATTTTTATTCATACTATTATGATCAGGGATTAATATAATCCCGATTATAATTACAATTTTGTTAATCAATGGTATTGAGGTATGTTGACCACTAGATAGCTTTTAGTTGCTTATAGGATTTATTGTCTATATTGTAATCAATTTGGAATATCCATCTCATATACCAAATGTATTATTAATCTAATTTGGCACCAGTATTTTTGTTTTATGATCTTAACAAATTTAGGTCCAACTATGTTCTCTTGTCTGAGTCTCTTTTCCCGTAACTGGGGCTAGGTTTGGTAATTCAGCTTCAGAGTGAGGTTTGGTTTTGGTTTCTAATATGGATGTGAAAGAGAGGCTTGGTTGCGATTGGGTTGTTTCCTACTCGCGCGGCTTCCATTATTTCCGGATGTGTGCTTTTTTCTAGTATTTGGAATTAAGATGGAGGCCAGTTTATTCCAAATTGAGGCTTGGTTGTTACCTATATAAGTACAACGGTGGAGGTTGGTCTCCTAGCCTGGAAGACTTGTGGTTATGACGAAATGCGTTGGGCGGAGCCTCCCTTCTGATGATATTGCGTAAGGATTGCCATTTTAGCTTGTTTCTGCGGACTGATGTTTTTAAGCTTGTAAGTGCATTTTCGTTCTTCTAAATAAATTAGCCTTAACTTACTGCACTATGAGAAGCACCTCCTTATTTTCACATGTGTATATGTTGACCCCATAACATCAGGAAGGCCTGAGGAGCTTCGGCTGGTGCATGTGATTCGATCTGAGACACATGAGCCTGAACGGGATTATATATATTGGGCGTGTATTGACCCCCTGTAATTAAGGGGTCAAAGGATCTGTTAAGCCTCCAATTTGATATCACGGTGGTGCAAATTCATGTTGGTAGTTATATTGGAATGAAGATTTTTCATCATTCATCACAGAAAAAAAGGGGGCTCTTCTATACACTCTATAAGGACTGTTTTATTTATATTTTTTTAATTTATTTGTTTTGTGGCAATGGTTCACTCTTGAGCACTTTCTTGTTCATCCTCTATTGGACATATATTATTTGTATATTATTTATGAATTTTTTTAGGTATTTATATTTTCATTTAGCGCAACACAAATTTTTCATTTAATCAAACACAATACTTGGAGCCTCTAGTCAATACCCCCAGAACTATCAATAGTCCAAAACTGCTAAATATTTATTTAAAAGAATATTACACTGCTGGCCATGATAATACTTTGTTAGTTGTGCCAAGTGCAGATAAATATATACAAAACATACATACATATTTAGATCTTGTATTTCCGTCCTCATACTCTGGTCTTATATTAGGACCAATTCCAAATATCACATATGACACTTGGCCAAGCTCTAAGCTATTGTTATTGTGCATTAACACATTTTGTGACCATACTAGCTTACTGTGAGGCTACAAAAAAAACCTTCTATTGATAATTCACAGTGTGGTGAATCCCAAAAGCAGCAATGCTAACAACTCCATAAAAAAAAGCTTCCTGACAAAAAAAATGTATAACACCCTTTGTTATTTATGCTATGTAAACACAGCACAATGACAAAGGTGAATCTATGGAACAAATGTCTTAAAAACTTGAGACAATTAGTTGACATCAGTCATTTGACTTTCTGATACACTTAACTTACAATGGACTGTAACAAAAAATGCAGCTGAAATTACAATTTAAACACACAATTTTGTTCTTTCTTTTTTTTCGTGTTGAGGCAACTACAGATTTTTAATGGCCTTAACGACTTACATCAGCAGATTTAAGCAATGTGTAAAGAAAAAGAAATAGTGTGAAAATTGCCATTTTTCACAGCTCTGAAATGTTGGCTCTGTTGTCTGGCATAATTAAGTCAACAGTCTGCTGGTCTGTTTCCAGGCACTCTGACAACTGTTAGCTCATTGCCATCAGTAAATTAACAGGAGTTTTCTTGCCCAAGGCTTTTAAGGCAGGAAGTGGCATTTCATGTGCTTAGGTCCACTTTCAGTAAGTGTTGATAGACAAGTATTGAAAAGACTTTAAACATACTAAATATTTTCACCATTTTAGGATTGATTTTTCTTAAATGAAAGACAGTGAATAACCACTAGCTCACCACCATCTGTCTGTTAAAATTCAATTAATTTTTGATGTAAGATACATCACATGCAGTACCCAAAACCCAAATGAAATAATGTAACATCATATACTATAAAAACTATTAAACAATATGCTATTTTTTTGGTTATATATATCTGCAGTCTCCTCTTTCGATTACATTACAAGATACTCACTAAATCAGAAAAAGAAAAACAATTATAGCTTTAGGACAATCATTTAAAGAAGAATTCCAGGTATGGTTATTTTTGCATAGTCAAATAGCTTCAGTTTGAATCAATTTAGCTGTGCATAAAGCATACCTGTGGGATGCCTCTAGAATCTCGAAATCCCTGCAGTAGATACCACTAATACAGTGATTGTCACTAACTTGCAGTTTCCCATGCCAAGCAGCCGCATTGTGAATACAGGAGGTCAGCCACTTAGCATAAGCACCATTCGAAGATCACTTTGCATTTTTATCCATGAATGAAAACCATTCTCTGATTGGATGAAGTGGAGAGGTAGGGTGGTGATTTTATGCCTTCTACTTCATCCAATCAGAGAATGCTTTGCATTCATTCAGAAAATGCAAAACATTTTCTGAATGGCGCTGCTTGATGATCTATGTACACTGAAAATATTTTAATAAACTTTGTAGCAGAGTCCTACCTGTTTCTGTTCTTAAGAAAAAGCTGTGTGTTCAACTCTGTTCTTGAAATACTGATTCCTAAATGAGAGCATCTGTCCAATAGAATTAGCTGATGAACTTGGAGTGTTCTAATGTGGAAAGCTGCTGCTTTGTATCTGTATACTCCAAGAAATAATTAACCCTTGCAGATTATCCCACCAAAGGTATAGTTCCAATTGCAAATGTCTAAAATTTGTATCTTAGGACAGACTTCTGGGAAAATCAGTGAGCAAATTACACAATCAGGCAATGACATTCCGGGGAAAGTTCTGTATACCAGCTGTGTACAGAAGGCCTGCAGATTGCTATTAGAGATGAGCGAATCGAACCTGGCGAAGTGGAATTCGTTTCGAATATTAGGAAAAATTCGATTCGCGTCGAATCCGAATATTAGCAAACTTCGGATGCACGAATCGAATTTTCCCCGATCCGCCGATTTTCATCCCTTCTACAGCCGGCAAAAAGTGTCCCTGCAGAGAGCTCCGCTATTTCTGAGAGTTCTCTGACAGTTCCTTCACATTTACAGCAGTTGAAACATTGTATCTATTTGTTTCCATTTAGGATACAGATGTTTTTATTCGGAAACAAATAGATACAATGTTTCAACCGCTGTAAATGTGAAGGAACTGTCAGAGAACTGTCAGAAATAGCGGAGCTCTCTGCAGATACACTTTTTGCTGGAATGGAATTCTTCTTCATCCTCATCCTACTTCTTCTTCTTCTTCATCCTCATCCTACTTCTTCTTCTTCTTCTTCTTCTTCTTCATCCTCATCCTTCTTCTTCTTCATCCTCATCCTACTTCTTCTTCTTCTTCTTCTTCATCCTCATCCTACTTCTTCTTCTTCTTCATCCTCATCCTACTTCTTCTTCTTCTTCTTCTTCATCCTCATCCTACTTCTTCTTCTTCTTCTTCATCCTCATCCTACTTCTTCTTCTTCATCCTCATTCTTCTTCTTCATCCTCATCCTACTTCTTTCTTCTTCTTCTTCTTCATCCTCATTCTTCTTCTTCTTCTTCATCCTCATCCTACTTCTTCTTCTTCTTCTTCTTCTTCTTCATCCTCATCCTACTTCTTCTTCTTCTTCTTCATCCTCATCCTACTTCTTCTTCTTCATCCTCATCCTTCTTCTTCTTCATCCTCATCCTCATCCTACTTCTTCTTCTTCTTCTTCTTTTTCTTCATCCTCATCCTACTTCTTCTTCTTCTTCTTCATCCTCATCCTACTTCTTCTTCTGCTTCTTCTTCTTCTTCTTCTTCATCTCATCCTACTTCTTCTTCTCTTCTTCTTCTTCTTCTTCTACTTATTCTTCTCTTCTTCTTTTCATTCTTCTTCTTCTTTTCATTCTTCTTCTTCTTCTTTTCATTCTTCTTCTTTTCATTCTTCTTCTTCTTCTTTTCATTCTTCTTCTTCTTTTCATTCTTCTTCTTCTTCTTTTCATTCTTCTTTTCATTCTTCTTCTTTTCATTCTTCTTCTTCTTCTTTTCATTCTTCTTCTTTTCATTCTTCTTCTTCTTCTTCTCATTCTTCTTCTTCTTCTTCTTCTTCATCTTCTTCGTCGTGCCCCGTGACTGCCCAAATGAGTGAAGTGTGCGGTGATTCTAAGATCGACGGCACTCATCTGCATGTCATACTGACTGACAGTATTATTTCTCTTCCCCAGCAGACTCCAAGGGCATTTAAATTAAAGGTACAGTGTTCTGCACTAATATAAAGGCTCTCTGAAGCCTAGAAACCCTTTTAATAAGTTAAATTCGCAGCGAATAAATTTGCATCAAATCGAATTTATTCCGCAAATTCGGCGAATCAGCCGAATCGAATTTTTGAATAATTCGCTCATCTCTAATTGCTATATTGCATTGTATTTTCAGAAA